AAAAAAACGCAGCAGTGGGAGAAATTATTTTTCAGAGGACCGCAAAGCATTACCAGCAGCTTCAGACAGCTTTCAGTTCAGACAAATGCTCAAAATGTTTGACTAATTAAAAAAAACAACAACAACAAAAAAAACATCAGCACTTGTTTGTTATCAGTGATTCCTATTGATTCTAAATTGAGTAATACTCAGCACTCCTCTATCACTGTTCCTCACAGATTAGAGGAACAGTGCTAAAGAAGAGCTTGCTGATAGAGTTGTGTTATAATTACATCATTCTGCAGCAGTGTTTTCATAGAAAGTTTGCACACTGCATTCAAATCAGTCACCTGCAATTTCTTGCTACTCTGTCCGAGCGACCTGTCCACAGCTTTGCAACTGCTCTCCAGCTGGACAGCCTGTCTTTCTTGGGCCTTCAATTCTGACTTGATCCTAAGGACCTGAGCCCGAGCTTCAGCCTCACTGACCCACTGCGTCTCCTGCCGCTCTCTCTGCAGTTTCTCTTCTTCCAGGCCTGCCTCTACACCCTGAAGGTGGAAGAAAAAAAAGAAACTAAACTACTCAGGAAAAGGAAGGAACAAAAGATGACTAGAAAGTCTGTAAAACCTTTGAAACAATGATAAAGACTTATTTCCCCCCACAAATCCAATCTAACAAAAAAAGCTCCCACATACAACACACCTGCACCATTGCCAGTTTCTCCTCAATCTCCAGTTCACAGCTCTGCAGACGCCCACGAAGCTCCTGCAGCCTTTCCTCCAGCTGTCTCTCACTTTCGAGCTCAATTTGTAGCTCAGTGGCCCAAAACTCCTCTTCCTCCATCTCCACCTCATTCTTCCTCAGGTACTTCTCCAACCTCAGGATCTCCTCTATTAACCCTCCACCTACACCTGGGTTCCCAGCGCACCCTTCACCTCGCCCCCCTCGTCCTTCAGCCCAGACTTGAAGTTCAGCTTCATAGGCCTCAAGCTTTTTTTCCAACACGTTGAGAGTCTCTCTCTGCAGACCGACCAGCCTGACCAGATCTTCCATGCGGCAGGCCCAAAGGCTGGGGGACGTGGTCCCGATAGTGGGTCCAGCATGGTGAAGGCTTCCTCCGTTTCCTAGAAGAAGCCTTCGTTTGGCTTCGGCTTCACCAATGCGGCCTCCGCTCAGTATCTCCCTAAGGCTTCTGGGTGCACCAGTGAATGTAAGAGACTTGCGGCGGGGTTCACGGCGGCGAAGGGAGCGATCATTGGGATGACGAAGCTTTGCAAGCGGAGGGAGGCTTTGCCGATGCAGACCGCGTTCTGGCCCCCTGAGAGGGGGCCCTTCTGAGGGGGGTCTTTCAGTCAGTGAAGGGCCTGTGCGGTGCAGGATCAGCTGGACATCACCAGCATACTGGCCCCAAGTGTTCAGGGAAGCCACGGGGCTTTCGTGAGGGGCTAAGTGACGCTCAGTGTCGCGCCATTTTTCTACAAGAGTGTATCTTCCAGTGCGACCTGAAAACAACACAGTATAGCACATTTACATTTACGTGACAACTGCTGCTAG